GCGTGGCCATCGAGCAAGTTTTATCGGAATTACAGAGTATTTCTTCACTGAAAGAAGAGCAAAACACTGCAAGCAAGAGTTTGATCTTGTGTTTGTGTTTTCGTCATCGCTCTGTTAGTACGTCATATGCTTCGTTGATCTGATTGGTTTATTTGGCCCGTCTATCACCAACATAGGCCAATCAGCTAACCAGTATTTTCGGCCCTTCCCAAAATTACTTCAACGGAAGGTTTCCAGATGGATATGCGGAGCAAATCCAGCTGGTTGATGCTGCGAGTCGCAGCGCAGCTGCAGGTGTTTAGGTGCAGAGATGTAATAATGCAGTGTTAAAGATTATATTCTATTAGCTCGATTCAGTTCAGGATCCTTCAGAGAAGTTAACTTGTAGATCAACAGGCTGCTGGGTGTGTCAGATTGAACTTCTGTTTGGCTACTGATGCTTTGTGTGGTAGCTCTGTGGCAGAGGTGGATAATCCGGATCCGGAACGTAAATATCCTGACTTGTTTTCCTTCATCCTGTTCACTTAACCAGGTGATTAGCTACTCTGGTGATAAGTCTGTTATGGAGCTAGAAATTAAACTAGTTGGAACCGATCTCTGCACAGGATTTTTACTTTCTGGAGCTGAATAATCCACCTCTGCTCTGTGGGCAGAATCAAAGCTGCTGCTGGTCATACAACCGGAGGCTACATGGAAGAGAGGACGCACACTGACTAAAATTAAGATATAAAACATGATATAGGTGTTGACCATGTCATCCAGCCCTGATTCCAAGTTGTTCTTACGAAGAAATATTCTTTTGTGTTCTTCTTTTATATTCTTTTCAAAAAAGAAAAGAAAAACCATATCAATTACATTTTAGACTATGTCAAAATCTGTCATAAATTACTTGATGTTACTTAATGAAAAAAGATAAACAATCATAGAGACTTCATGTTCATGTTGGTGTCACAAAGTGTAACCAACAAACCAAAGCTATGAAAACAATGTAAAATCTCTCTAAAAAAAAGAAAAGCAAACAGACCATTAACGATAATTTACCAATTTGTATTTACAGAGCTGGTGAACTTTCTGTCATCCCATTCATACCTCCTGCTGCTATTCTGTGGCTTTTGTGGCGAACACCAACGTGTTCGGAATAAATTATTCAGAACATAGAAAACCCCAAAGAGGCTGAATATTTAATAAGTTCTGTTTAGATCCTCTTCCAGCGCAGATGACCTGAAATTCTGATCGCATCCTACAGGCAGCATCCATGTCCTTCCCTTCGACTAATCCCCCATGCATCTACGGTGCGTTCAGAGGAGCGATGCTTCATGGCTGAGGATAAGAGGATGACATCAGCACAATCTCAGCGCTTTCACGGCAACATAAACGGATTTAGAGAATTTGATTTGGACGACAGATGTTGCTGGCTTGTTGATAGGCCCCATCTATCAGCAGCACCACAGGGTAAACTACCCTTTAGATATTAATCACACTGCAGCGAGACAGTGACACAAAGTCCTTTAAATCTGCAGTTTCAATGTCAGATTATATACTGATCCTAATAATGATATAATTTAAGATAAATAAATGTAATGCTTTATTACTGTTTTTTTTCCCGGGATAAATCCAACTACACAGCCTGCTTCTGCGTCTGAGCTACTATCACGCCACAGATGTAACGGCTGTGCAGCGTAGCACCTAGAGATGAATCAGCAGACCAGATGCTGCCTTCCTTTGCCATTAAGAATTAGCATGTAGCTATCCTTTTTATTCTTTTTTTTTATTATTATGAAGCCTTTTAGAGATTAGAGATCTAGGACTGATGCTAATCCAGGGTTCCTACAGCATAAGGCGAGTTAAATTCAAGACTTTTAAATGCAACTTGAAATAAAAATTTAAGACCAAATTCACAAGAAACACAAGAAAAACCTGCTTGCGACAACT